TTGGATCAACAGACATGCAGGGTTGCTAGTTGGTACATGATACAGGACATGTTGGTTTACACAAGAGTTTTCTTTACAAGTTTCCTCTTTCTCACCACAATAAGAAACAACACATGGCCTCAGCTAATCAACTCACTGATTGGTGATTACTTCAGACCTGTATTGATTTCAGCCATAAGGGCAGCGCTAAGTGTTGGGAGTGAGAAAGAAATCCAGTCCAAGAAAATCATGTTTTGTTATTCTGGAATTATTTGATGTGAAGAATTGGTTTGAAGCTACTATAGTAAACATCAACTTTCTGAGCCTTTGCAATTCCTCTGCTTAAAGGATAAAAACACTCCACAACAGACTTATAGCTTACGTTAGCATTACTCATGAGGAAATTACACAGTCTTAGTTCCCACACGCTGTTATCTAGTTCTTCTTTGTCTAAGCTGACATAACTCTTGATGTAGCTTAAGTTGAGACATGTTCGCCCGTGGGAGTGCCTTAAAACAAGTGCAAACACAAGGTGCAAGACTCAGAGGACCAAGATGAAAAATTCCTGTCATGCTGATGAATGAAAATGGATCAGGCTGACAGCCGTATAGCACCTTTTGACTTAAAAAGCACCACTGCAGTTCAAGAAGATTACTATTTTCATGTGTAGTAATTTATATTTAGAGGTATACCTCTGCGATCTTTCTTGCCCTTTACTTGCATACATGGAGCTGGAGGCTGGAAAAAAGCAGCAAGACTAGCACAAATCACAAGTGACCGTACTGGAACGAGAAGGCATAGCGCTAGGTTACCAGCTAATGCTAGCAAACACTTTTAGTAAGTACCATTCATAAACTGTACAATGCACAGACACTAATAAAATATCACTCATCAAAAAACTGAAGGACAAACTTCTTGGATTAGCTGTGCCTCACATGTTTTTTGCAAGATAATTCATTATAAGGCTACAACGGAACGAAAGCACAAACGGTTCTAGTTTAGCAGCTAAAGTTATCAACAGTGGCCATACTGTTGGTTAACATGCGTTTTGATGCTGAAAAGTTGGGCATTTTCACATGAAAGGTCTGATTTGCCTTCAGGAGTCAGCCTTGAGTGGCTACAAGAGGAAACACACTTTTTTGGCTTCATTTTTGAGCTCTGGAGGTTGCCACTTGCAGGCTAGAGTAGCTTCAATAGTGTACCTTAAATGAGATTTGTCAATATGATGCTTTACTTTTTGCTTGATATAACAACTTAAGAAGGTTTAACAAAGACCTGAACTCGATAAAGTACTCTGTGTTTCATAATAACTAGCAGAAAGTTTCAACAGGCACATTGTGTAATACTACTACTTAATTTAACTGAATTTTATCTAACTTGAGTTACTAGTGAGTAGTGAGGAGAAAAGTCATAACAGCATCCCTGTTTGATTATTCCCTACATTCTACAACATTAAGGGCAATTAAATGTTTTTAATATAGCACCAGATTACAACAACAGTCATCTCCAGCTGCTTTATATTTTAGGCAAGAGAACTCCAACAATCCGATAATTCCTATGAACAAGCACTTGGCCATGGTTAATAGGTAGAACTCAGTTTTAACAGAAAGAGACCTTCAGCAGAACAAGGCTGTGTGATGAGCAGCCATCTGCCACGACCGGCTGTGGGATGAGAGGAAAGCGAAGACAGAAACAGAGGAGCGCAGAGAGACTGAACAACAAACAAGCGAGCAGAAATAAATGTAATGATATGAAATAGTGTAAATGCACAGGAAGTCCACCAGCAGCACATGTGATACAGCTCAGAAATATTTAAACCCATCAGAAGATTCACTGAGAGTCTCGTATTCCGAGTCCTTCTGTCAAGAACTTAATCTTAACACATGAGACTTCACACTCCCCCACAGAACAACCTTCTCTGTCCTACAGTGCAACATTCTGTAAAGGTTTCCATCCACTGCTTTCTCTCCTCCTGTCCTTCTCCCAGCTCTCTCTCACTGTGTCTAATGGACCTGATGGCCTCATCAATAATACAATCAACCAACTATCTGCTTCAGTGGCTTCAGACAACAATGGACGGCTCCCCAATGCTTCTGTGAATGTGTGCATGAGTGTCATGCATTTGGCCTAACTGCATCCACTCTTTGTAGCTCTGTTGTGGGTCACTGGTTCATCTAACAAGAGCAAAACAAAGGCAACAGGATCTATATTGTGTGTGTAGCGAACCCTGTTGTGCATCTGCTAAACTTAGCTGCAGGACAGCAGAGTTTGGGTTGCAGAGATCCTGTAGTGTACAACAAAAGTGTGATCATCTTTGCACAGTTTATAAAGATGCGATCTGTGGTCTTTCCAGTAGATGTATCAATATACTGTATATCTGTATGTGAGAGTTGGATGAAACACCAACAGTGACCATGTTTGGAGTCGCTTCTGCTCACAAGTCCCTGCATCCCAGCATTTTGTCTTTAACCACCTTTCAGCTGCTCTTAGTGTTATGTGGCTAGCTGCTGAAGACAGTCAAGTTAGCTAGAGGAGCATGTAACAGAAGCAGAGCCAGACATTTCCCTTGGTTTGGTTCTCTGCACAGAAAACATGACTTCATATGAATCAGCATATTGTTCCATGTCTGCTGGATGTGTAAATAAGCAACTGTTCGCTAACACAGCATAACAATTTAATAACACGCTATGTCACTTTCCCACTTGTTCATTTTAGAGGAACAAATAAACTAAGAGTCAAGGAAACTGATGTACCAGCTCATGGTAAGAACATGAGCTTCTACAATATAAATGCTGTTATAAATAGAAATATTTGTTTGTACTTTTGAATGTTTGAATGAGCTAGTGTCATGCCCCATGTCATCTGCTCTGTTCAGTTGACTTGCAGGTTGAGATCTGCTCAATCCAACTTTGTTTACCTAGTTCACAGCAACAGTCATTTCAAGATCTCAAAGATACGCACAAGGTGTCCCATCGCTGCATTAGGAAATAGTGAAAAGGGTTTCATATTCCCAACTCGTCCTATACGGAGGCTTGCAAAGGACCATCTGGAATCACATTATAAGTCATTTAATGTACATCATCAGTGGTGAGAAGGTGAGTTTAAAATTGTAACCCAAGCACTGCTCTTCTTCTTTCACCATTTCTTTCTTCAACACGCTAAATGCAAACCACAGTCTCTGCAGCAAAAACCTCCGAGGCTAAAAAAGAAAGTTTCTTTTAATGGCCACTTGAAGCTAGCTACAGAAGTCCTCACATGTTAAAATGTCCTAAATTAAAGCAGAACTAAATATTTTACATTCTGTTATGATAAATAGTTATGGGTTTCTTTGGGTGATGAGAATTTTGTATAATTCATCCACCTGGATACTGGTGCAGCCTAGACCTAGGAACATGGCTGCTTTGATTGACAGGTGTGCCCACACAAGGCTCGCAGACCTGGGCTAATAATTTAGCGCTCCACCAGCTCATCATTTCCGGATCCAAAAAAGCAGCATGTGGGTTTAGGAAACACTAACGCTGAGAGTTCAAAAGAGAGAGTCTGAAATCAATCTTTGACCATCTTTTATATACAGTCTATGGTCTTAATCTACTGCCACCTCTCCATTTTCCAAACGCAGCCTTTGTAGCTTTTTAAGACATCAGTTCTCTCTCTTCATCCACTAATGCTGCAGCACGTGCGCCAAGCACCATACAATAGGACACCGTGATGCATCTTGTGATGCCAGCTCCATGTGGCAGTATTTAACACACTGGGGTGGGGATCTTTCCCATAACTTTTCCATCTGAAAAAGCCAGTTGGAAAAGTTACTTTTTTTTCTTGGCATCCACACTTTACAGCTATCATTCGCTGCAAGTAGATGTTTACTTTCAATTGTGAACATGTCTAAAAGGGCAGGGCTTGAACTTGAAATCGAGATGATGAGCAAATGATCTTCACTTAATCTATTAGTTGACTCCCACTTGTTCTGAATATGAATCATTTATCAAGTTAAAAGCAATTAATCATTTATCAAGATAACACACTAAATACTGAGCGGTCAAAGCTTCTCAGGCATCAGGATGTCAAACCCTAAAACGATGCACGTTTATGGTGGGTCATTTTGGTTAACTGCACTTTGCTTTTGAAAAATGCACTCACTAGTTATTCATCTCTGCCTCTCTTCCACACTGCATCTTTTATTTTACTTATTTATTTATCTATTTATTTGTCCTGTCTCAAAGGGGGGTGTTGGGGTTTTCTCTCATTTATTGTGGAGCAGCCACATAAAAAACATTTTTCATCGCGGGCCACATACAGCTCACGTTGATATCATGTTCCAGACAAAGGACTGATAAAAATCAAATTTCTGTTAGTGTAAAGAAGTTTAACTAAAAATGGAATCAATTAGGTATCTTAATATAAGACAAAAAGTGCAATTTTAACAGTATGTCTCAGTTTTTCTACATGATAAAAAAAATGCTGCTGTAGTAAATGAAAGGAATCTGTGAGTGTGACTCTTTGGGATTCAATTTGGTGTATTGTAAATGGCCCGAGGGGAAGTCTTTAACAGTAGGAAAAGCTGTAAAACTTGTTAAAATGTATCCTCTCCTTCACATTTTCCAAAGTAATCCAGAACTGCTTTGTTTGACACCCCTGTTGTTGGGTCTTTAGATTATATATACAGCGCCTGGAGGTGACTGCTGTTGTGATTTGGCGCTATATAAATAAAATTAAATTAAAAACAACATTAACTAAGCCTTCTGTATTATTAAGTGTTGGTCCTGTCTTATTATATAGAGTCTGTAGATTATGTAATATGATGGAACACACAGCTTGTATTTTTAGGTGTAAATCCCTGCAACTATATGACTACTTATAGTCTGCTTCCTGCCAGACTCCCGGGAGAATTGTGATTGGAAAAAGAGTGATTAACTGATTCATTGGAAAACTTTCCACTGAGGTCCGTTTGCCTACGACAGAGAAGGTCTGAGCACCTTGTTCGACTATCACTCCCACTGTGTGTGCTTCAGGTGTCTTACCCAGTCCTCAAAGTGCTTGCTGCTGTTCTGCAGGATGTCCTCGAATTGGATGATGCAGTTGGCCACGAAGTCGTCGTAGCCAATGGGCGCGTCGTGGAAAACTGATAGCTCTATCTTGCGGCCGTCGTGGACCTCCGTGATGAACTCGTAATTCCACGTGGGGCTGTTGGTCTTCTGCTTGGTGGAGGTCTGGCCCACGCGAGAGTCGTCCACGTTGAGGGCGATGTACGTGTCCAGGAGGAAGGTCTGAGTCTTGGGACCGACGGCGTGACGCAGGGACCAAGCTGTGGGTTTGAGGTCCAGAGCCTCGCGGATCCTGATCTTCAGCTGCCCGTTGAAGACCACCATGGCGATGAAACGCGCTTCCAGTAAAACCACAGGACACCTTTCTCCTCAAACACCCCCAAATCAGCCGTGCTTTAGCGCTTTGAATAACAGCTCCGTTCAACCGGTGGTCCTCCGGGCAGAGCGTGTTCCTTCCACTCCGATATGAAGGAGAGAGTGCAGTCACCAAGCACACCAAGCTGCTGTCGTGTCTCGAAACGTCTGCACTTGTCGATTATGCTACAAAATTTCCCCCCAGAAACTGAACTTCAGTGGCGGAAAAGCGACCGTTAGCCCGGGAAGCCTTCAGAAGTGCACGGAAGAAACATGAATAGCTACGGCGCACATACGAGCAGAGGCCCCAGATGTGAGTCGCTCTGTCATGGTGTTTACCTTCGAGGTATTAAAAAGCTCTGTTAGCTGCAGCGGGGCTCCCTGGAAGCACTGGCCTGCGTTGCATTGCACCGTGCGGAGGGTGGGAGGCTCCAAATACCTGCTGCCAGCCGCCGCGGCGCACTGGAGATGTTCGAGCTGCGAACCAGACAGCGGCCGGTAACGACCGCAGCAGGGGCGGAGAGAAGGGGGGCGGTGGGTGGATGTGTCAAAACGGGCTCCTGCTGCTTGGTGCACGGCCTGGTGTCAGTCCAGTGCAGCTGTTTGAGCTCAACTTCCAGTGGACACAGCCTCCCGACACCGCTGTGTGTCTCCGTCTCTCTCTCGCGCGCGCGCTCTCTCTCTCTCTCTGGTGCAGGAAATGCGAAAAACACGTCAGATTTAGCGGAGCCTGATGTGACAGACGGGGGAGTGCGACGCAACCAAGACTGGGGCGGTGTTTAGGAGCAGCGGGGCTGGGGGGGAAGGTTGGATGAATATGAAGGCAGAGAAATAAAAGCCTGAACAATTCACCAAGGTGCCCTTGAGCAAGGCTAGGGCTGTATAAAGAAGCCAGTGCAGGTTTACACAGTAATAGGCGTGTGTGTAAAGCTGTTTTATTAATGCAGAAAAAAACAGGTGTGTGTGCAGAAAAACAACAAGAGTGTTTAATACTGAAATGTGGACGCCTAGCAGCATGTCTCCACTCATTTTGCTGCATGTCCAGGTGCAGAATTATGAACATTCATTCACTCAATAAAGGCCACTTGCCAAGGCCATAAAAAGATGGGACCTTAGGGGGATGAATGTAGGGATATGTGAGGCATGTGTGGAATTTAAAAGAGGTGACTGAAAGCCATGTTACTTATCAGCAGCATGATGTGTGCAGCACTGAAGAAAAATATAACCTAAAACATCTGCAGCCTCAAGTGGCTTTCACAGCATTAAGCAACATTTCAGTTTTCAGCTTTGGTTTACCAAGGATGCAATGCACAGATTGTGAGTAATTGCCTACTTTGCACCTGCAAGACTGCATTGCAAGATATGAATGTTTGCCAGGGCTCTAGCAGGACTCTAATTAGTTTTGCAAAATCGTGTCATGAGTCTTCATAGTTTCCATAGTCTTTAAAACTGTACCATCGTTGTTTGAATTCCTTCCAGGGTAAAAATGAAGCGGTGTGTTTGCAAGGAGCCAGACACAGCATGTGACACAGAGGAATGAGATTTTCTACCTTCTCATATATACAGACAAATGCTTTATATTTGACACAGAACCTGCAGTCTGTTTCTCCCGAGGCACAGATGACAAATGTGATTTATGTGTAAGCTTAGTTTTATTTGGAATAATTGTAGAAGAAGAGTCAGGCGTCTGCTTCATTTAACAGCAGAAACTACAAGGTGACCGCATGCACGGGGATCTGTCTTAGTGCAGGAGCACACATACCTGACAGGCTCAGTACAACACCAAGAGTGATTCACATTTTACACAAGGGAAGGATGCATTTATGTGCAGATAGCATTTAGTGTTTTCAGCACTGGAGCAGCTGAAAACACTGACAAAATATCAGACTGGTATCAGTTTTTAATAGAGAGTGAACATGTTCTGTTATCTATTAGCAAATATGTAGGACAAATATGTAGGCTTTCACTGGCTTTGTTTAATGTGTTAGACAAAAAAAACCCCAATTTAACCTGTTTTGTTGACCTGTTTTCAAACAGCTGGTCTCTTTCTTTAAAAGTTCACTTTTGTTGAATACTTGTGCAACAACAGTTACAAAAACAGAGAACCTTTTTTTGTGATGTATCTTCATCTCTTTATCTCAAATATGAGGAAGTTTGAGAAGACTCCAAAATATCTTTACAATCTGCAGAATACAAGTGTGTTAGAGGCTAGTTTACTTGCCTCATTTAGGCCATGTTATGCAAAAGTGAACATTAATATACAGTGGGGGTGCAGATTGACTGAAAAAAGGTGGATATTGAGAAACACTCAGATGAGCAGGGTGAAAGTGATCTGTTATGCTTAAACCTTGAACATCACTGACCCCTGTTGTCGATTGTTTGTAATTTCAAGTTTCAGGCACCTCCCACCAGCTGCAAAAATGATAAACTGCACTGCTTCTGAGAGAGGACAGAGAAAGTAAATTACTCTACACTGTCTGTCCCAGTTTAATTCTCTTACAGCCTCTTACCATGGCCATTTCTGTGTCAGAAATACAAGAACTAGCGTATTACTATCATGATTTTTTTCAATGTCCTAGAAAATTACAAGGTGACTGAGAAATAAGACTTTTTCATATACTCATAATATACTGACCTAGTGATTTCAAGAAACACACAGAGGTGGAACCATACTTGCATACAGGCAGGGAAACATTTTTAAGCCATCTTAGGTTTTTAATCCTCTGGTTTGTACATTTTATTAAATGTTACACTTTGTTACAGTAAATGTAGAATATTAGCAAATAGTTTAAGATAAAATAAGGCTATGTGTGTGTGTCAGTTTAAAATGAGTTTGACACCTCTGATCTAAAAGAAGTGCATTGTTACTCATGTTACCAGTAGCTGTTAGCTTAATGTTGGCTTAACATTAGCTAATGTAACATTTGATTCCATTCAGTGCTAATGTTAAGGCAGCTTTACTGCAAAAAGTCAAAAAAAAAAAAAGAAAAAAAAAAGGGATGGAGCCACAACAAGGCCAAACACATGGATATTATATTGGCATCTGGCCTTGTGGTTTGTTTAATTTCTAACAAAGGAAACATAAAAGTCCAGAAACTAAGGAAGCATTAATAAGAATTATAAGGTCAAATATTACTACATGTAGAGAGAGGGATGATACATAAGGATCAACAGATATGGATTATTAGCAAAGTGATGAGGACCTGACAAACCTTTGAAGATATAAAACAACTATAAGCTTAAAATATTTCTTTGAGGGAAATCAGTCATCATTGGATGCTTTGAGTGTATAAAGACATACAACTGAAAGCAAATATGTGGGAATGTCAGCAGTTCAACTGCTGCAGAAAGATGTTATTTGCTGTGTCTAGCGAGCATTTGGTGGACGCTCAGTCTATATTGTTATAGATGTGAAAACACAATTTTGTCTTCCAATTGTAGAAAAGGGTATGAAGCTTCCTTTTATGACTCTTTCAGCTGCTGCAGAGAGGAACGACTGTGGTCGGTGGTTGCAGCAGTGAATCTAATATTCTTCTTTTCTGTGGTTTTCCATCATTGTTTAAAAGGAACAATGTATTTCTGTCGAAAACTTCTCCAACTTGTTTTCTCATTAGCACATCAGCCAATGTGTCTCTGAGCTCTGCAGATAGGAATCAATCACACGCACAGGAAATCCCCTGGACTCCGGCCACGTCCTGCCCTCTTTCCCCTCTCACTCGGCCGGATCTAAATCAAACGAGCATGGCTTGGCAACAGTGGATAGGCTCTTCATCACAACTGTAACTATGGTCACACTAGGACAGTAACATCCCCATGGCTACAGGAAAATAACTGTCCTGAACATTTTTCCACTTTAAGTGGCTGCAGGAATGAAAGGAAAATTCTTTTTATGGATCAGAGAGGAAGTTCCCAACAGGAGAGAGGAGAAACTGTAGACTGTAGAAAGATGGAAAACTGATCTGAATAATTGTAGGAACTGTTACTAATTTGTTTTTATTGAATTTGACATATATTCCAAACATAAAACTTCACATCTCCAATAACAGTTCATCCATCCTTTCCCTAACTGCTTATCCAGCTGTGGTTCCTGGAGGCTGGGAGCTGAATGATAAATAATAAATTCATTAAAAATAATAAAACATGCCAATATTGTATAGGTTTATCTAAAAGGAAAGTTTTAAGATAGTCTTATAAGTCTTATTGGAGCCTGGTAGCCGAAGACTCTGCCCGCCACTCCTACTTTCAGAAACACGAAAACGCTGACATCTAAAAAAATTGAATAAAGATGTTTGCATCTCTTTCTGAGTTGTTCTTCCCTTCCTGTAGTCGTACAAGTCAGTTTCTCCACTACTTACCTACTTTTACTGGTAAAACAGCAATCTTTCTGAGAAACTGAGAAATTTGATTTTGAAATGAAATTAAACAATTACTAGTTGAAACTAATCTCATTTTCTTACAGTTTATGACCCTGTTTTTCAGAGCGGTAAGTGTTTATATCATATTTACAGGGCAAGTCTTCTCTTCTCCTTTTCCAAATGATTGACACACTCAGTCACAGATGTCCTAAATCCATGATTTCACAGTCTTTTGTCATGCGTTTATTTTTCAAGAAGGGCAAAGAAATTAAACAAAGAGTCAATCATGACTTCCTCACATCTTCTGGGGGCCCTAAGCAGGATGGAAAACCCAACTCAGCCTCCAGTTAAGCCCTTCTGTGTCTTCTGTATCATAATTTTTTTAATTCTTTTCAACTGGATATTGTTTGTGTTCCTCTATCAATCTTGAGTCTGAGTCTGGCTTACATCTGCCGAAAGTTGGAAAATATATATCAGCATTGAAATCTTTATACTGGGGGTTCTCTAAGCTCACAAGGACCGAGTGCCAAGTTAGGAAACCAACATATGATTGAAGACTTCACAAGAAAATAAATGTTTAGTCCATGTTTGAAATGTGTCAGGTCAGTGCACCAGCTGTATTTGTTAATGTCAGGGAGGGTTACACTGTTGTGATGGCTAGAAGGGCTGAAATTGAACACAGGGACACCATCCTAGCTTCAAATCACGCACTGACGACTTCACCTTGTCCTCGGGCTTAGAATAATTGATTCCAAATTAAACAATTGCTTTTCCCCTATCTTGTTGGTAAATTTCTATGCAACCTGCCTTAGCAGCTACTAAACACCAGGGGGCACCAAACATCAATCTCATTTCTAACGTTTTTATTATCTCTTCCCAAGGACAATATAATTCCCCTTTCTTTTTTATTATCCACTCTCCCGCTGTACGTCAGTGTGTGTGTGTTTTAGTGTGTCTTCTTTCTTTTTTATGTCGGTGAAATGGCTGCAATAGCTCTCAATCTGTAGCCATTTTTGAGGCACATCTGTGTTATTAAACACCTCACAGCTGGTAGTGAAAAACATTAATATGAGCACGGAGAGGAAGCTGATGGGCAGCAAACCAAATACCAAATGCACCTTCTCTGTATCCTGCATGTCCGCATAATCCTTACTCATCCCCGTCCCTCCGCACCACTTAGTTATTGCACTGTTTAATTATAAACAAACTGTCAAAATCAATATTGGTTTATTTATTTTTTTCATTTTTCCCCTCAAAGTGGGTTTTTTTGTGTAAGACAATCAATAATCCTACTTTGGCCCTTGGGGGGAGGTTAAAAACGATCTATAATAGGATTCAACTCAAGCAGCAGGAATAACAACGAGCCAAACCAATTTCCCACAGGCTAACAGTGAGGTTTAACACCA